AGACCTGGCACCTGGACTGGACTTTGCTGGCGTTCTTGGTGCCCTTGCACCTCAGCGAGCAGAGATCCCTTGACTTGGTTGACGTCCACGCAGGCTTGGCCCTCACTGGGTCCTTCGGGAATGCCTTCTCCGCGGCGTCCCTGACTGCCCTGTCCAGCTGGTCGGCGTGGTCGTTGGGATGCATGTCCAGGGGGAAGGCCGGGATGGTGCCCATCATCTCCTCGAACTGCATCCTGCATTCGGGAACTCCGAACTTGGCCTTGTCCACAGCGACTCCTTTCCAAGTCGGAGGATGAGGCGTTGCTTCGGTCGGTGGAAGCTCAAGCATCAGGTCCACTAGGGAGTGGTCCTGCTGCGAGATGGCGAGCTCGATGTCGTGGTTGACTCCCTGGTCTTTCACGTATTGGAGGAGGCCTGGCGAGATGCACACGTAGTCGAGCCTGTGCTCGTGTCCTCGCTGGCCTTCACGCCCCGGGCAGCGCCAGGTCGCATGGTGCCCTCCTCTGGACGGGCGCAGGGTGCTTGGCAAGCACACGGGCACCTTGGCCGCAAAGTGCCTCAGCGCAGCACCTGCATCGTTCTCCTGGGAGGCACCGTGGTTGCCGATTTCAGCCGTGGTGTGCTGGCCGACCCTGGCGTTCGCATCCATCAGGCAGATCAGGTTGACCTTGCCCTCGGGGCGATGCTGCTTGAGGATCTGGTGAGTCTGCTGCCACCAGCGATCTCGTAGCTCCTTCGCCGTCCTGCTGTGGGGCGCATGGGCCACCAGCACGTCGATGCTGAGCAGGCTGGAGCGGATGCTGACGAGCATCCTGCGCGGATCCTGATGCAGGACTGCGATGTGCTTGGCCTCGAGGGTCGGGGCGCCCTGGTGGCGCAGCCTCAGGTTGACCCAGAGCGAGACGCCGTACTGGCCCTTGGAGTTCGCCGCCGCGTGGAAGATCTGGTACTCGCCTACCTTCAGCACTGAGGACTTGGGCACTCTCGTCTCCAACGTGCCGACGAGGTGGTACTTGAAAAGCCCGAACTGGCCCGAGAGCATGTGGACACGCCCTGGGAGCAGCACTCCTGAGAAGGCCTTGCCACCTCCTGTCCTGGCTTTGCTCGGGTCGAGCGTGAGGACATTGGCGACTGCTACCCTTAGCTTCACCTCCTGCTGCAGCTGCTGGGCGCCTCCCGTGCCGGTGCACTCCAGGCGGTCGTGCAAGAAGTCTGCCAGCCCGCGGCACGGCGGAGCCAGCTGGGGAGCTTCAGCACCTGGGGTGGGATACTGGGCCTGGAGATGCGCTGGCGCCGCTGCAAGCCAGAGCCATGGCGCCTCCTGCGCCATGTCCAGGACACGCTCCCAGAAGCTGTCGTCGAGAGCTGTCTCGATCTCTCCTCCCCTGGCTAACGTGGCAATCGTGTCTGCCAGCTCGTTCCAGCCGTTGCCTTCATGCGCCGGGACATGCTTCCAGCTGAAGTGGGTGACTGCCTGCAAGAGCTTGTGCATCCCGTCAAACACTGTGGAGAACGGGGCATACGTGGCAAGGGAGGCCCCTCCTGCCGCGATGTCGAGCACGTAGAGGCAGTCCGAGTGGAAGGTGATGTGCGGCATGGGGGTGTCCATGAGGTGGACCGAGGGGTCTGCCTGGTGCAGCTGGAGAACCCACATGGCGGCGGCCGCTGCTGCACAGACTTCTGCTGCCACGGAGGGCTGAGCAAACTTGTCCGCGAGGTCCGGCATCGCTTGGCCCAGGTAGCCGATGTTGGACATACGCCCCTGCTCGTCTGTCCCGATCACCGTGAAGGCCCACGACGGAGGACCTGGCATGTGGCCCTTGTCCGCACCTCCTGAGCCATCTGTGTAGATGTCCAGGGAGACATACCCGAAAGGAGATGCTCTTCGGCCTGGTACCGCCGCGAAGGCATCCTCACAGCATTCCGCCAGGAGCGCCTTGGTGGAGCTGTGGAGAGAGGGACCCAGCACGCCCTCGTCCAGGGCCGTGAGGTCGAAGGGCCAGGCTGCCCGTAGCATGCTGAGTGCATGCTCACAGCCTGGCAGCGGCACCACGCGTCGCGGCTGCCGCCCTTGTAGGTCTGGCTGGGTGACATCACTAGGGGCCCCGCCCTCCCTGTCACCTGGGAGCGGGGTGTCCTCGGCGAGGCCCCGTGTTTGTCACTGGGATGGCCTGGCCGCAGCGCTGGCCGGACTGGCCATCGACGCTGTCGAAGACGCTGCAGCTGGGGAGGCGGGAGACCCTCCTGGCATCCTGTCCGCTAGCCCTGGGCCGGCATGCTGCCTGGCCTCGGGTGAGCGTGAGCGCTCCTCTCTCCCTCCTTCTTTCTTGGTCGCCGCCTCTGCTGCGGGTCGAAGCTGCAGCCTGGTCTGCTGCCTGCCCGCCTGCTTGTCCCGCTCGGCCTCCGCCGATGCCCGCTCCTGCTCGCGGGCCAGCTTGTCTGCGGCTGCCTTAGCGGCCCTCTCATTGGTGGCCGCGATAGCACTGCCACCTGCATGTGCCACGGGGACTGCTGCTGCGGCCTGCAACTGCTGGGCTGAGGCTGCGGCTGAGGGTGCCTGTGCGGCGGCGGCCAGGAGGTTCGAGTTGATCTGCATCATCTGCTCCATCAGCTGCGCCATGCCTTTCTCGAGTGAGGCCACGCGCTGCTGCGTCTGTGCGACCTCCGCCACTTCTTGCCTCGGCCGCGGCGTGGATGGCATGTCCTCGTCATTGCCATCTCCGTACTGGTCGCGTGCTTGGCGTGGCTCACTCTCTTCGTCGAGGCAGGACGAGAGCTCCTCGGCCTCCACATCCCCTGATGCTGGTGGGCTCTGCCATGCACTGCGCCTTCCCTGCGCCCGCGGCTGCGGCGGCGGCGCAGGGTACGAGCAGAAGTCTGCCATGTTCAACATCTGCTCCAGGAAGACCTGAGCGTGCTCAAGGTCCTGCTTCGCCTGCTTGGTGTCGGCCTCAGCTGCAGCCATCTTGAGCTGCGCGGCCAGCTCTGCGTCCTTGGCGCCCTCTAGCGCCCTGCGCGCCTTCTTCACGAAGGCCTCCTGCTTGTCGGCCCTCGTCGCCGGGTCCCTGGACAGGATCACCTGGCAGTGGATGGCGGCATACTCCTGCTCCGCCTTGCGCAGCCTCGTGGGGTCTGGGGCCACCTGCCCGCGGATGGCACGCACCCTGCCCTCGGCTGCCGTGAGCGCCTTCCTGAGCGACTCACGGTACTGCTTCAGGCCCGCGGCCTGCTGCGGGGGCGGTACCCATGCGCTGTGGAGCTTGGCCTGCTCCGGCAGCATGGGGAGGATGCCGAGCGGCTCCTTGTCAATGGCCGCCGCGGTCTGCTCCTGCGAGGGCTGGGCTCCCTTGGGCTTCGCCTCTCGTTGGCCTCCTCTGCTGGCCCCACGCTCGCGGCGGCGCTGCTGCCATGGCGCCTCCTGCTGCCTCTCTCCTCCGCACTGGCGGCAGGACTTCCTCGTGGCGAAGTTGGAGGTGTGGCACTCCCCGCAGCTCCACGGCGGGACCGTAGCATCGCCACCGTGCTGACCCCGTTGGCTGCCTCCACCTCCGCTGGCCGTGCGGCGTCCGCCCTGCGGCGCCATCGCGCTGTGATGTTGCCTCAGCAGGCGGGCAGCTGCGCCCAGCCTGAGCAGCACTCTCGCCGCCGCGCGCTGCCGGCGCGCGCGGCGATGCCAGGCGGGGTCGCCCTTCGTGATTGCTAGGGCAACTCCCTTGGTCGCGCGAGCTCTCGAGATTCGCAGATCTGATCTGCACCCAAAATCTCGTCCTGAGCCCAAACACGACTTTCACGAAGGGAGGGGGGGAGGGGGGAGGACAAGTTAGGTGCGCTCGCGTCAACATCTGACATCCTACCCCTCCCTCCCATCCCTTACCATGGCGCTGATTTTCTCTATCCGCGGACGCGTGTCGTAGCGGACCTGTGGCTCCGCGCGCGTGTGCGTAGTGGGTGGTGGTGCGCGTGCGTGCGTGCGTGTGTGCGTGGTTGTGGTTGTTGTGGTGGTGGTGGTGTGTATGTGTGTGTGTGTGTGCGTGTGTGCGCGTGTGCTATGGTGTGACGTGGTGTGGCGTCTTGGTGGTTTGGTGGTGGGCCAGGTGCGTACGTGCGTGATGGCGGTGGTGGTGGTGGTGGTGGCGGTGGTGGAGTGTGTGTGTGTGTGTGAGTGTGTGTGTCTGTGTGTGTGCGTGTGTGTGTGTGTGCGTGTGTGTATGTGTGTGTGTGTGTGTGTGCGTGCGTGCGTGTGTGTCTGTGTGCGCGCGTGTGATGTGGTGTGACGCGGGGTAGCGTGGTGGTGGTGGGTGGGGTAGTGCGGTGGTGGTGGCGGTGCGCGGTGGTGGTGCGCGTGCGTGCGTGCGTGCGTTGGTGGGTGGAAGTGGCGGTGGGTGTGCGTGCGGCGGGGCGGGGCGTGGTGCGGCGCGGTGGTGGCGGGCGGATGGGCGCGCGAGAAAGAGGCCCGCGCTGGGGCGAGAACGCCATCCTGAACGACGGAGGCAAAACACCGATCCGAAAATGAGGCCCACGCTGCAGCGGGAGCACGATTCGGAACGATTCGGGAGCAGAAATGAGGCCGGCGCCTCAGCGAGAGCAGCATTTTGAAAAAAACGCAGGCGAAAACCCAACTCCCGGGAATCCTGTGTGTAAAAAAACAGTACGCGGGGGGGGGGGGGGCGGCACTCATCAGGGGAAGAGGGAGAGTAGTATTCATCTTGAGTAATTGTGGAGGAAGAGGAGGAGGGTGGGGGGATGAGGAGGAAGAGGAGGAGGAAGGGGGGGAGGAGGAGGAAGAGGAGATGGGGGAGAGGGAGGACGGAGGAGGACGGAGGAGGAGGAGGAGGAGGAGGAGGAGGAGGAGAGGAGAGGAGGAGGAGGAGGAGAGAGGAGAGGAAGGAAGGAGGAGGAGGAGGAGGAGGAGGAGGAGGAGGAGGAGAGGAGGAGGAGGAGGAGGAGGAGGAGGAGGAGGAGGGGGAGGAATGAGGGGAAAGGCGCCCGACCAGGCCGTCCTCGCCGCCAGACGACGGCGGGTTCATCATCGCGTCCCGCTCCATCCTCCTGGCGGCCTCCGGGGCGGGCGCGACGGGAGCTGCCCGCGAGGTGTGTGTGTATATTTTTTATATATATATATATGTTTATGTGCATGCATGTATGTATGCGTGTCTGTTTGTATGTGTATGTATGCATGCATGCATGTATGTATGTACGTACGTATGTACGTATGTACATATGTACGTGTGTACGTATGTACGTATGTACATCTGTATGTATGTATGTATGTATGTATGTATGTATGCATGCTTGCATGCATGTACGTCTGTATGCATGTCTGCCTGTATGTCTGCCGGTCTGTCTGTCTGTCTGTCTGCCTGTCTGTCTGTCTGTCTTGTCTGTCTGTCTGTCTGTCTTGTCTGTCTGTATGTAAGTAAGTAATTTCATAATCATGTATATATGTATGCATGTATGACTGTATGTATGTATGCATGCATGCATGTATGTATGTAAGCATGTGTGATGGTATGTATGTGTGTAGCTACGTATGTACGTTTGTATTGGTACATGCATGCAAACATGTATGTATGTTTGTCTGTACGTATGTACACATGTACACGTGTTGTGTGGGTGCGTGTGTGTGTGCGTGTGTGTGTGTGCGTGTGTGTGTGTGTGTGTGTGTGTGCGGATGGTTGGAGCCTGGGTTGGCTTTGACCGCCGGGCAGGGCGGGATATGAGTACTGCTCCGAGGGGGGAGGGGGGGGGGCACACGGCGCTGCGCTGCGGAGCTGGACTCTTCCTCCTGCCGAGTCGATCCTCCTCCTGCTCCTCCTCCTCCTGCTCCTCCTGCTGCTCGTCGTCGTCGTCGTCCTCCTCCTCCTCCTCCTCCTCCTCCCCCCTGTGTCCAGGAGAGGTTGAGGCCACTCATGCTCCCATCACTTCTCCTACTGCGGGCAGTCCAGTTGATCTGCAAGTTACAAACCTCGAGGCAGGGACTGTTGAGGAACAGGCGCGTGTTGATCACCAGTGTGCCGAGGCCCAGGATGTTGTTGCCCGTCGGGGCCCTCACCCTATTCTCCTGCCAGCCCCAGATGGAGGAACAACTGTCCCGAATCTGGGCTTACCGCGAGGAAGCTCTCGCTCGCAGGAGAGCCCAGCAGGCAGCCAACTTTTTTTGAGTCGCTGTCCTGACTGAAGGCTTTTGGCGGTACACTACACGTCGTTCATTTCTAATCGTGCTCATTTCTAATAGTGCTCGTTTCTAAATGCTCCTGGCCCCCTAGTGGCCAGGAAGAGGCCCAGGATAGAACAATTAGAAATGAAAAGATCTTGGTCCCCAAGAAATCGAATAACTTTCGCACACTTAGAAATGAGCAATCTGTAGACTATGTCCCGGTTCCTGGCCACGTGCGCCAACAGACCCATAGCGCGGTAGCGAGTGCGTGTCCGCGAAGCCCCTCGGCAGGCAGAGCAAGCTTCCTTCGCCTCGTGCTCTATCCTCCCTTTCCCTCCTCCCCCTGCCCCTTCTGTATAAAACAAGCCCTTCTCACTCCTCCTCCTCCTCCTCCTCCTTCTCCTCCTCCTCCTCCTCCTCGTCCTCCTCCTCTTCCTCCTCCCCCGCCTCCGCCTCCGCCCCGCTGCGCCTGCGGCTGCGGCGGCAGTCGTTGGCCAGGCCACGGACGGAAAATCGGGGGGGCAACTCCTGCCACGCAGTGAATGCATGTAATCGCCCCGCTGCGCTCAGTTTTGTCAGGCTTGGTGCTTCCACGCAGGTCGGTCTCATTCGAATTGTGCATTTACAATGGAGACGCTAGGGCAAGAGTCGGGCCTCCTCTGGAGCATTCCAGATTTCGCCGGCTTAGGGTTGTAATGCTGCAAGAGACGCTGCTGTGCGAGTCTCTCGACCTCCTGCGTTCGATTAGGGTGGTATCCCGTTTGCGCGCCAGCTGTGCGTTCCGAACGCAATTGACCCGTAGGGGGCATTACCATTTTGGTCAGGCGCGCGCAAAATATTGGCGTATCACCCTTGCCGCAACAACGCTCGCCCGATACAAAAGTGGTTACGCCGAGAACCGGTTCCGCCGCGATCGGTTCCGCCGAGGACCGGTTCCGCCGAAACCTGTTCCGCCGAGGGCTGGTTCCGCCGAAGCCCGATTCCACCGCGCGAATGAACGCCGCGGCCATGGCCTGAGCGTTGGCCTCGGCGGAAGCGGACCGGGCGGAACAGGACCGGGCGGAACAGGACAGGGCGGAACAGGACCGCGGCGGAAGCGGACCGGGCGGAAAAAGACCGGACAGAAGTGGGCGCGGCGGAAGAGGAAGGGCCGAACAGGCATTCGGCGGAAGAAGCCCTCGGCAGAAAAGGCCCTCGGCGGAACAGGGCCTCGGCGAAACATGCCCTCGGCGGAAGTGCTCGTGCAAATAGAAGTAGGTCGTAGTAGTAGTAGTAGTAGTAGTAGTAGTAGTAGTAGTAGTAGTAGTAGTAGTAGTAGTAGTAGTAGTAGTAGTCGTAGTCGTAGTCGTAGTCGTAGTCGTAGTCGTAGTAGTAGTAGTAGTGGTAGTAGTAGTAGTAGT